TTCATTCAGTTCGACAATATATGTATGTAAGAAAGAGAAAGAAAGAGAAAGAGAGAGAGAGAGAGAGAGAGAGAGAGAGAAAGAGAGAAATAACATATTCGTGAACGAGAAGCCAAATAGCACCACGGGTTTTCTCCTCCTCTTTTTATGGTGGCATCGATCTCGGGAGAATCATCGATCCCGACTCGTTGATACGATAATAATAACACTTAAAATCCGATTTGTCGATATGAAGATTCAATGTCTCTGCCAACGAAATTAGAGGGGTACGTCGGGTTCGCGACGTTTAAATTACTTTGAGTCATTTCTACCGTCTGACGAATCAACGGTCCAAATCGAATATTCATATATCATAAAATGTTCGTAACAGGCGACATTTTTTCGTTGGACGATGGCGAAGTGCCTTCGATTCGTTTCGAACAAAGTTTCACGCTCATTATTACGCCCCATCAAGTGACTTCCATTTGAATAAATCTCTTGAAAGCCTTCATTGGAAAAAAGCTTAAGGCTTGTTGCCTTATACGTCTTTACGTAGTATACCTCATCTCTCACTTTCTCTCATTTTGTATTTTTAATCCTTACCTTTACTGTTATCTCTTTCTATTTTTATACCTATAAATATCTGCACTCAGATATTTACTGTTACTCATCCGCTTATTTATACTGTTGTGATTTATTTTTCATACTTAATGTAATCTTTATACATTTTTTTTCTCCTTCAAATTTACATAGTTTTGATTCATCTACCATCCATATTTTATAGATATTTAACGGACATATATCTTCCTTTTTCTTTATATACGTATATATATATTCTTATTATTAATTTCTATATTTTTTATATATTTATCTAATAGTATATTTATTGTAATTAGATCATAATCGATGTACTTTTATTTTATCAAGAAATTTTCCTCCGTAATGGTGTTTTTAAAATCCATCGATATAAATTATCTCTCTCTCTCTCTCTCTCTCTCTCTTTCTTTTTCATTATAAACTTTGATAAAGAATAGCGAGAAAAGTGCGTCGCGTTCAAGGAACATAAAGATCCTTCGTCCACTTGTTCAAATACTTTGGTCAGAATGATCGATAGTCGTCGAACTAAAAGAAACAAGAATAATGAATATTCAAGGAGTTCCAAGTAGGAGAGATAATGATCCTGCTATGTCACTCGTAGAACGATTTTGCGCAAGCTCAAATCTATCGTCTATCGATCTTCGTTTCGTCATATCCATGATGTGTATCGGAGAACTGACGGAGTACCGACGAAGATCGATGAACAACGATCAACGAGCTCTTGAGAAGGTCTGCCGAAGAGGAAAACCATACAACGTGTCTCTCTATCATCGTTGTCCCGTCAAAATCATCGTACTTTTCACATCGTCAAACGTGATTTTTCTTCTTCTTCACTTTTCTTACGATACAATATTCGCTAAGATATAAAAAAGAAAAAGAGATAGATAGATGGACAGAGATAGATAGAGAGATCAAGAGAGAGACAGAGAGAGAGAGAGAGAAAGAGAGAGACAGAGAGAGAGAGAGACAGAGAGAGAGAGAGAGAGAGAGAATAGGGGCGAGAACGAAGTTCGCTACCTTGCATTGTCGCCTCTTTGATCTTTCATCGGCGTTACTCGCTTCATTAAGTCGCTTAGATTATTCGCCTCTATCGAGATAAGTGCTTATCGAATCGAGTTTAACCGATCCCCTTCGAAACACGAATATAGACAATATATTGGCCGATCCTTTTCTCTCGACTAAATGAAGAAAAAAGGAAAAGAAAAAAAAAAATAATAATAATTCGCATTCTCGATTATACTCTTTTATTCTAGTCAATGTTTAAACATCGAATCGCCGTAAATAACTTATGTGGAATGTGTTTGAAGTTCTAAGCTAGTTTGACGTTAAAAAAACATCCCGATAGATTTCAGTTTTAAATCGCAACGTAGAACGCGAAAGAACTAAATGTTTGTTGTGAATTAGAATGAAAGACAGGAAAGGGTTGAAATGAAAACGATCCGTTGAACAATTCACTGAACATTCTAGGCAATGAAGGTTCCTTTGCTAGGTTTATGTATATATATATATATATATATATATATATATATATATATATATATATATATCGTTGGTTGCTTTCACTTTGAACCATGATTTTCCATTACTCATATTCTTTTTTTTCGTATGCATACGAACGAGCGTGAAACATTGAATGTAACTAGTAAAAATGAACTTTTGTGTTATCTTTAGGAGCGTATATTAATCGGTACTCACGAGAAATATTATCGTTGTTGCGAATACATCGAAACAATGAGATTGACTCATTGAAACTTTTAATTGTTATTACAACGAAATATAAGTTGTAAGAGAAAAGATTACGAACATTTACAATAAATACGAATATTTCCATCAACGAGATTCGAGCTTTTGTTTTATGTTTCTAACTCGTGAATTCACGAGTTAGAAACATTTCGACGTTCGTATTTATAGAATAACGTTCGAAAATAATGTGTCTCGCTTCGCTTGAAATAGACTAGAAAATTTGTATAAAAAGCACGAGAGAAACGTAACACGCTAAGTATCTCTGGTAAAAATTCTCGCAAATTTATCGATTTAGGAGTATTACGTACGAGAATAATCTTGAAAATAATGTTGAACATGGAAAAAGAGATTTGATCGAGGAAAAACATATAATTATTAGTGAATATTATTAACTAATAACACTAAATGTTTTTGTTCATAAACATGGATAAAAATACATAAAACGTTTATCTATTTAATGATCGTATGAAAGAAAATGAAATCAATTGAATAAAGTTGATTATAGTCATAAAAGCAACTAGAAGCAGTTTAATGGGAGCCAGTAGTAATCGAATACTCGAGAACTCGAAGCCACAATGTTATCCAGATTCAGAGGTATCGTTGGTTCATTAAACTCGAATACTCTTGTAATAAAATTTAATTGCTCGGTTATAGAGATTTTCACAAAATCAATTTTTATATTACATGTATATATAAATCCTCTAAACAAAATTATTTATATCTATATCATCCGCTATTGAAATAAATCAACTATATTAATCGTTCCTGTTAGAAACTCACTCATATCTATATTATCTATTCCTGGAAGAAACTCACTTATATTTATATTATCCATTCTTAGAATTTATCATCCGAGTATCTATTTTCAATAAATCGAGTATATATAATGTCAGTTTTGAACCCGGATAATATTCTAAACTCAGTTATCCGAATTAAAATGTTGCGAAGAGAAGGATGCGAAAAGCGAGAATAATTGAATAAAGCTTTGAAGAGGTCTAACTCATGAACTGCGAGTTTCACTTAATGGGATTCGTTCCATGCGAGACTCGAACGCCTTTGGGCGACTTTGGTGATGTCGAGTTTGGAACGTATCTGAGCATTGCGAAGAGGAGAAAGAAGAGAGACAAGGTGGAATGAGACACCATGGCCACAAATAGAGCGCATCTTTTGCCACGAATCTTTCCCTTTCTTTTTCTTTTTTCTTCATCCACTTAGAGGACTGATCGTCTCGTAGGATAAACATAACAGTGACGGACGTTCAACCCAGTAGCCGTATCCGGAGTATTTAGCCGATGCGTGTTTCATGAATTCGTCACGTGTCGTTGTAGAAACACTTCGAACCTGTTCCGAAGGGAACGAGAACTGGTTCGTGAATGTACACGCAGGTGCGTACGGTGACGGGTACGACAGGCTCATAAAATGTAAAATTGTACCGATTTAAAGAGCGCACGCGTCGTGATCGTTTCTAAATTTCATAATGATTGAGTCAGACTGCGGTTTAGACTTATTTACATATCTACCCTGTCTATAAATATTCCTTATATGTAACGTATGTAAGAATATTTCTCATGTATATAAGTATATATACATTCTGCTTCTTTGGAATAATCGTATGCTCATCCTAAAAAAAAAAAAAAAAAAAAAAAAAGAAAAAAAAAAGAAAAAAAAAAGGAAAAAGAAAAAGGAGAAAAAAGAAAGAAAAAAAAACATACGAAGGATATAAAATATTTGTCTACAGATTACCTCGAAAAATTGTAAGCTGCTTTAACACTTTCTCAGTTGAGATAAATGTGAATATAGATTAGAATTTAAACTTCCTCCTCGAGAACATAATTCTCTGATAATTCTCGCGATGGGAAACGGAGTATGGTAAAAATTAAGAAGTTTCACGCTGAAAGATACAATTTTTTGAACGTATAAATATCAAAATCGAGAACAGAAATTCGTACTACAAGTTTGCAATGGTTTTTCAGACATATCTCGTCCGTATAAATCGATACTAGATCAATCTTCTTTTTGGTCATGCGTTAAGAAGAGAAAGAGAGAGGGAGAACAAAAGAGAGAGAGAGAGAGAGAGAGAGAGAGAGAGTGATGGAAAGGTCAGAGGTTAAAAAATCGCGAGAGCTGCAAGCGTCCACCTCACGCGATTGCACGGAGGCGGTCAAGGTACTCCTGGCCCTCGTGAACCGCCAGGCCCTCGAGCGATGGCCCTCGGGTGGTCGAACCGGATGGCTGCTCATATTCGCCGTAAATGGACGCTCGAGTAAAAAACTACATCGTTCCTTTTTCGCGAGGAATTCGTGCCTTCTCATTTCTACCTTTATACCTTCTTCTTCTTCTTCTTCTTCTTCTTTTTCTTTTCTTTTTTTCAGTGTCCTTTTCGAACGAAGCGAATCATTAAAAATCATTCGAAAAACGAATAACACGCTAAGAGAGAATATTTAGTGAAATTTCGTAAGATCGATTTCACTTCGTTCGTTTATGTCTAGGAAAGGGTCTTGCATATGATCATTCAGCCAACTACAAGTATTAATAGGCGCGGAGAGATCGCTGGAGGGTGTTCGCGGCTGGTGAAACGCGTATTAACAGGAAAGAAAGAAAGAGAGAGAGCGAGAGAGAGAGAGAGAGAGAGAGAAGTGTTTTGCTAGGATGCGAGAGGATATATTTTTGCGATAGCATACGCGTGAGAAATTCTTGCAGGCTCCCACACACGAACTAACTATGATGCAAGAAAAAGCTCGAGATTCTTTGTCTTCTCTTGAGTACGTTCTCCTGAAAGTATCCTGAACCCGCCTATGGAACTGGTTTCGTTGTTCCTGATTGACCTGGAACAATAGCGCCACTTAAGTATGCCGACGAGCTGCTTGACGTCCATAAAATCTTTCCCTCGCATCAAGGAACTATTAACTAATGCAAATCTTCTCTTCCTTCTTCTTTCTCTTTCACAAAATATGATGCTTGGATAATATTTTTCTATACATTTCGTTTTTTATCGTTTTGTTAAAATAAGAAAAGAAAAAAAAAACAAAAAAAGGAACGATATTGTAATATCTGAATTCTTCTTTAACGAAAAGCTCCATTCTTTTCTAAGATTTTTCTAATATATCAATGTGCTTATATGCAAATGATAATTTTTAAGCACTTGTAACAATTTGTAAAAGATTTGTAAAATTTTTTTTTCTCAACACTGTGAATAGAAATTCAAGAAAATTATAATTTTTGATAATGATATCTGTAATGTAGTGAGGTGTAATTCGATTAATCATAAAAGATATTCGAACATATAATATATAATCAATAGAGTCTTGTCCGGTTCTGTAAACGACTCGCAGACTACCGTAGTCATAACGGATACGAAAGAAGAAGAAAAACGAACAAGTAAAAGTAGAAGGGATAATGTGAGACGATGCATGTCTTATTGGCACTGCGTAGGTATGTAATTACTTCACTTCCGATACAATTCTTAACCTTTCATCAAGTAATTTTGTAATTTGGAAGTTTTTAACAGATCTACCTGTTAAAAACTTAAGCTCTTCATTTTTTACTGCATTTCACTGTAATTCAGTTATTTATCAGCTCGTAATAGTAATATTATCAAGCGTTTTTCTTGTATTAAATAAAAGAAGAAAAAAAAAGGAAAAAGAAAAAAGAAAAAAGAAAAAAAAGAAAAGAAAAAAAGAAAGACAAAAAAGAAAATGTTTGAAAATTTGATTAATATCTGTGTGAAGGAATAAAAAAAAAAGACAAAAAAAAAAACAAACAATTGTATTTATCGTGTAATGCGATCCTTGAAATTGTATTACGAGAATGGCATAATGATGACTGAAATGCGTCGAAACGAAGGAGATCTTATAAACAATTTCAAATATCGCATTTCTGAAATTAGCGAAGGTGAATCATGTTCTCGAATGGTCGGTCGTTTTGGTGCAAGTTTAGCTTCGACGTTCTCGCATTCACTCGCTAACGTATACATCGGAGTTACTATGGCGTCAGATTGTTTAGCCATCGTCCGTTACCCTCGTAGGGGAAAGTAACGATTCGTCGATATAGCAACCGTTAACGATCGGTAGGCTATATATTCTTAAGGCTTAACTCCCTCGATGAAAAGACTCTTTTTCTTCGAGGAATAAAAAGATGAGTTGAAGGTGTTGAAAGAAGATTATTCGAAGGAGAAAATATATCGAGAGATATCTGGAATATGAATCGATACCATTTGTCACTATGGAAAGTCACTCCTTATTGTTAGACCGTATGATAAACCGCTGACGCATAAATATTCAGAGATAAAAATATTCGACTTTCTTTATCGTATGAGTTTTCTTTTTTTTTTTTTTTTTAAGTCAATTTCAATCATGAAAGATAGCTTTTCTTTACAAAATTAGAAAAATTATTAATTTGGTAATATTATTATATATATTTGGTTTATATATTATGGTTCATATATTATATCCATTCGCGTTTGGATAGCACTACTGAAATATTAAAAGTTTAATTATTAATTACTATAGATACACGAACGCACAGAGCTGAGAATAAGATTTAAAATGAAACTATATATATATATAGTAATAAAATACATATACGTATATAGGTATGTATATTACTAATTTAAGAAGAAATAATGATCTATGAGGAATTGGATATGCGGTTTATTAATTAAATATAGTAAATAAATAAAATGTCAGAAATATAATGCTAGAATTAATATAAGTCGTCAGTGGAAAGTTTTGTGAAGCACAACATACAAATTAATATTTTTTCGACGGTGTTCCAAACCTTAATTGGTATTATACCTCGTAACAATACATATTTAACCAACGAAGCGAAATAAAAGACGAGCCAATAAAAACGGCCCATTTCTAATTGGTCTTATTGTTTCACATTATTCGCGGTTTACTTCATGACTCAGAACAACAAATTCAGAATTTCGTCATCGTGCTAATCAGTTACGCTTCCTCTCAAGTTTCGTTTCAAAGGAACATCCATGGTGATTCTCGTTTTGTTCGCGATTTTAATCGATGCCGTTAAATCGCGATGAATTTGCAAGTGCCAGAGCGTACACGTTCTCCCATCAAATCCTGTCATGTCTGACTCGCGCTCCTTTATCTTTCCACTTTGCACGCGCTTTTATTCGTTCGCGTAGTACCCTCGACGAGACAGTGAGAGGCCAGACAGGGGTCGCTTGGTTGTGTGAAACTGCCTCGTAGAATTATTATACCGAAACGTTAAACGGAATAAAGGCTCAAGGACGAAGACCGAATCGTTCGAACTTCCACGAAGGATTTCTCGTTATACGGGAAATAAGATTTAAGCGATTCCATGAATTCAGATGTAAAAATGTTCTTTTCTTCTAAGATAAAAAAAACCTGACAGAAAGTTCATTATATACCTGTCATTTTACAAATAAAATTTTCTACGAATTACCCTTTTCAAGTATTATGAAAGTAGAAACGATCGAATCTACTTTTGTACGAGTGTGTTCGTAAATTACCTAAATGGACGATCGTAAGTCATCCACCACTCTTTTTCACTTTGGACGACGCGAAAGTGGTCTCTGCAAAGAAGAAGGATGTCCGAAGAAAAATGAGGTGTCACGAATCTCGAGGCTGCTCTCGATCGATCCTTTCGCCTTCGACCAACGACCAATGCGGCCAATACTATTCCCGTTGGTAGATTTTACGAAGGGAATTGTTCGTTGAGTCACGAGTGCCACTTCAATTCACGGCTTCTTCTCTCTTCTGCCCTCGCTCTTCCCCCGTCCCTTCTTTCTTTTTTAATATGAGTTCGAGAGCACGATTGGAGTCATTGAGATTCCATACTTTTTGTGAAGCTTTTATTGCCTCAGCCTCGCTTCGTTTTCGAACTTATTGGCATTTTTCTTTTTTTTCTTTTTTTTTTTCTTTTCTTTCCTTTCTTCTTTTCTTTTCTCTTAACGAGAAAAATAGCGAGTCGTCAAGAAGCGTCAAATGTCAAACGTTTCGATTAGAACAGGATAGAGAGTTATTCATTGTTAAAAATTAACAAGGGACTGTTAATGAAAAAATTCCGCGTTAACCATTGACGCGGAACGGATTGCGATAAAGGACAAAAATGAATGAATGTTCCTTATAGAACGATAGTAACAGAGACGAAGCGATGCCAAGATTTAACATCGCTCTTTACGAGCTTCGGTTAATTCGATGGTACGTTCGTTACACTTAACTCTCATTAAATCTTTGATTTACGAGACTCTGTCTCCGAACTTGGAAAGCGATGAATGTACATTTTTATCCATGGCCAACTTGTATACCGGAAAAAGAAAATATCTTTCAACGTTAAGGTTCACGAGATCGGATAATAAAGAGTTCGTGTTTATTGCTGGTGCCAGTGCACGGACGTCCGCTAAATTTCTTATATTTGTGATCGTCGACCTGTTCGAACAAAAGGAAGTTCGTTCGAAAAAAAAAGAGATAAAGAAAAAGAGATAGAGAAAGAAAGAAAGAAAGAGAGAGAGAGAGAGAGAGAGAGAGAAATATAGAAAGGAAGATAGAGAGATAAAATCAAGAATTTTATAACTTTTTTGTCTTTTTTATCCCATCGCAAAATAATGTATAATGAATGTGTGTACGTTTTCTCAAAGAAGCCGGTATATCGTTATGCGTTAAAGATACTCGAGGTGAATCTTTCTTGGAGATAGCCGTTGAGATTTCGGAAGTGCTTAAGAGAGCCGTAGACACGCGAGCAGCCAACGCGATAACTCATCGGAAATTTATCACCCTGGAGAAGGCTCCAAGCCGGATCACGCAAGGGACGATCCTGTCCCACTCTCTCTCTCTCTCTCTTTCTCTCTCTCTCTCTCTCCTTTCTCTTCTTTCCTATCGTACGACGTTGCTAATTTTATTACCGATGTCTTCTATCTGCCTTATCTCTCTTTCTCTCTCTCTCTCTCTTTCTCTCTCCCTTTTTTCTGTTTAGTCTTTCGACGCCCTCGGTCTCGCACGCCATGGATATCTTCCAAGATAATATTAAGAAACATAGTACGTGTATTACCTATCACCATAGAGAAAATCTTTTATTAACGACAAATTTTCATGATAATGAAATATGAATTATTAAGCATGTCCTTACTAGTCCATCTAAAAATGCGTTTAAATCATTCGAAATGAAGTAGAAAGAATTCTTTCGTAGTTTTTATACATTTTTCAAATAGACGGACCGTGAATAATAGAAAGGATACTCTCGACGAAACCCCCTTGTAAGATTTCGTCGAAAAGGTTTACACGAAAACAAGCTGAAAAGTCAAGGATATTTTACATGTTGCGAGTACTCTTTCGTAAAGTATATTTAAGAAAAAAAAGAAAAAAAAATGAAAAAAAAAAAATGGAAAAATAAAAAAAAGAAAAAAACATAAGTATTGTAAGATTATACATGTAATTTACTTTAAATAATAGGTGGAGAAATACACTCTATTATTATCGTAGATAATTTATTTTATTTTAAGATTATCGGAAGGTTCACGAATTGGACCTGCATGCAAATATATATAAGGTGATTTAAAAGTATCTTTCAAAAGTATAAGAGATAAGTGGTATTCTCAAAATCAAATATAGATAATTTATTTCATTTTTAAAAAACAATTATATAACGTATGTGAATACGTTATATGATACTTCATATGAATTCTGATATAACTATGATACGTCAGTCGCATGAAAGAATATTAATGAAATAAGTAAATGTCGGAGGTTAAATTGTACGTTATGTATGTAACATTATTCGTATATTATAATAGATACTCGAAAATAAAATAAATTGTTCATATATCTCCATTGATTTTCAGATGATT